TAAAGACTGATTTGAAGATATGGTTTGAAGTTTCTTTTAGAACTGATTTAAAAGTAAAATATGTTATTTGGAATTGGTTTATAACTACAGAGTCTATTTTTAAATAAAGCATTTTTTAGATATATCTTTTGATAAGTCAGAAGAACTTTTAAAAATGTGTATAGCTTGTTGGTTAATAAAAATATCTGAGGTAATTTATTTATTTATTTATTTATTTATTTTTTTTAAAGATTTTATCCATTCATTCCTCCCCCCAAAGCCCCAGCAGACAGCCGCATGTCACAGGTTCACATCCCTCTAGTTGCTGCACGTGGGACTCGGCCCCGCGCTGGACAGAGAAGTGGCGCCTCGGGGCTTGCCCGGGATCCGAACCCGGGTCGCCAGCATCAGAGCGCGCGCACTTAACCGCCAAGCCACGGAGCCGGCCCTATCTGAGGTAATTTAAATAGTATATGCCAAATAAAATGAATTAACATCATATGTAATTACCAATTATACTTATATTGAACAGAATACTTCTGCTGGCACATTTGGTAAAAATTAATTTTCAGTATATGTGCAATAGGCTCTTAATTAATATTTATTAAATCACAAAAGTGCAAAAGATAGATCCTTAGTTAATATACTTTTAATTATTTGCTTTGCACATATTAGGCACTCAATAAATATTTAAATGTGAATAAAAAATATGGAAAAGAAGCAAAAGTTTTCAATGTAATTGTGATATTTAGCAACACACAAAAAAGAAATCCTCTATTTAGAAATTTTAAAAATAGCAATCTGGGATTTGGAAGAAAGATTTTTTAAGTAACCAATTTTAAAATTAGAGAATTTACTCAAATTCAGTTTTTAAAAACAATGCTAATACATAATAATACAAAAAGCATAAAATTTCTGAGATAAATTATCAAACTTTTAAAGACTAGTAATATTAGTAAATTATTGTTTTGTTTGATATTTATCAGAGGGCAGTGTTACAGCATTATTTTTGTATCCCTTGCTTGTCTTTTATTAGGCATTGGAATGGATCTATATGATTTATCAAATGTTTCTAGTGTGGCTAAAATGTATAATGAATGGAGTGGTAGTCATCTTAGTGAGTTGTAAACCTCAGATTTGGGAAGAGGATAAATGTTTCTTTAAACAGAGAGAGGCACATATGAAGGAATGCAAACGCCTTAACAATATTACTTGATGATGAAAAGGTAACACGATATCTCAGAAGGATGCTATCCTGTGGGATATTTTGAATTTTAGTGAATAAAGTTTATTTCTGTGGTTGAATTATCCTATAACTATTTATCATATTTTTCCTTTCTGTGGTTTTTGTGATATTCATGCTTACCTATGTAATTATCTAGATCACTTTTAGTTAGAAAAATAATTCTATGTTTCATTGTAAGACAAACATTTGGATGACTGATAAAAAAATTCACTTTTCATCTGGATCTTTTAGTGGCATTAGTTTTGGCAGCCTTAAGCTATGGAACAATCATTACTTTAATAAATAATTTTCTTTCTGATAGCATTTCAAAATATTAGGTCTGGCATTTTGAAATATTAGGTCTGATGTGTATATTTGAGGTAATTGGTAGAGGTTTACAATTTTCTGGTTTCTACCACATTCCTTCTTATGGTGGTTTTAGTTCATTATATTTTGCTATCGATATTCTATTTTTAGTAAAGTGAAGCATATATACCAAATAGTGACAACTTCTCCCATGTTGTTAGGATTTTGAATTCAAGATAGTGGAATTCGTGCCTGACTGCACATGTGCCATGTGTTCCGGTTTCTAGTCATTGGTCTTTGATTTGATTTTTCTTTAAATGAGGTTTTTACCAGGTTTAGTTTCTGCCAGTTACATTAGGCTTCATGTGTATATCCCTTCCATTTAAGAGAGGATGAACTGCCAGAATTATGCACAGTAAAACCAAGACCCTTCTGAGATAAGGCTCTGGGAGCATTGTACAAGTCCAATGTTCTTCCATGAGGTTGGCCCACCCCACTGCGACTAAGAAATGAGATGATTTGAGGGCTATTACACACTTAAGGTTTTCACAGTGGATTAGAATAGCATTACTTAGCACAGGTGTTTCTATAATTGGGATTCCCTGGGAAAATTCAGTACTGTATTCAATAACAGTCAGCTTTCCACATGAGTGGAGGAGCGATCCAATGTTAATTTGCTAGGCTGTGGCATGAAACAGGGGAATGGGGTCTGGTTTGGGGGTCTGTTGCTTCTCTTCTTGGAAAAGACATTTCCTGTTGTCCATTATTAGCATTGGATTGCTGTGGTCTTCTTTTTAAAATTTAATTTATTTCATTTATTATTATTATTATTATTATCAGGCTGACCAAAATACTGAAAGGCCCCAGTTGGAGTCAGTAAGGGGAGATTTATGGCCTCATATAACACAAGATAGTTTCTGAGTGTCCTTTTTCTTGAGATAAAATTATTTTTCCTCTCCTTTTGTAAAGCATTACATTTAAACAATGTCTATGCACCCAAGTCACAGGGAAATGACCCAGGCACCTGTGGGGTGCAGTTCACGGAGGAGGATGGACTTGGAGTGGCCTTGCCGACGTCCCCATGCCTTGGAGGCAGTGTCCAGGCATAACAAAGAACAATCACAAGTTACTTCAGCATTTAGCTAGGGGAGTCTTAAGCCTGGTATCCTTATAATGCAAGGCGTGAATATAGGAAGAATGGTGTGCAAAAAAGGGCTTCAATAGAGGTAGGGGTGGGAAAGCTGAAAATCGCTGATACAATTAACAATCATTATTTTACCGAATCCACTGTTAGACAGGCAGAAGGACTGATTTCCTGAGAAATGGGCTACTATAGAGCTAAGAGTCGAGCCCTCGCAGCAGGCGGCCGCGTTGCCTGAGCGTCCCTCTCACTCACGCAGTACTCGCCCGGGAGCCCAACGCTAGTGACCTCGGGTCTGGCCGCGCCCTTGAGTCCCTTTGTCTCCTGCCCCGAGGGTGGAGAGCAAGTGGGAGAGGAGCCCCGGGGAGTGCGGAGTCCGAGCTGAGCCGAGGTCACAGCAAAGGGGAGCTCGGTCCTCAGCTAGGACCGGAGCGGATGCTACACCTCTCCGAAGCTGCCTCCACCCCGCGCCACTGCCCTGGGAGTTAGTGCTTGAAGTTTCGGGGCAGCAGCGCCTGCCTTGGAGCTGCAGACTCTTTGGCCCGGAGCTTTGCACTTTGCTAGGAGAGTGCGCCTTCGCTCGGTTCCCGGCTACTGGTTTCAGCTACTGTGTAGTTTTAGCCCTCACTCTTCTCAGCCTGGGTCTCGGAGGGCAGGCCGTGCCTTGCTCTGCCGGTTGGCTCGCGGGGCGCCCTCCCTTTGCTTCCCTTTCAGCCGGTCCCGGGCGGTCGCCAGGGCTGCGGGGCCGACGTCGGCGCGGTTCGTCTGGACAGCCGGGAGCCGGGCGCAGTCTTCCGCTCCACCTCAAGGTGGCGACTTAGGCACGTAAACAAAGCTCGGCCAAGCCCGGCGTTTGGCACCCTCGCGGTTCATCCACGTATCATCCTAGTTTTCCCGCTGCTCTCCAGCCGGCTGAATTGACTGTTAAAGGGACTTGAGTTTAAATGAGTTCGGCAAGAATGGCAGAATGTGTGTGTATCTCTGTGTGTGTCTGTGTGTGTTTCTGTAGGTATGCGTGTGCATCCGCGAGCGCGGAGGCGGTGGGAGGTGGAGATGCGATGGAAACCCTCGGCTGAACCCGTTTGGGACGCTGCGAGTCTCCTCCGCATCACCTGAGCCCTCAGGCCTGCCGACCCGGCGGGCTGGGGCTTCCCGATCGCTCTGCAGCCTGAGATGCTGCGAGCAGTGCGCAACCGGAGGAGGGATAGAGGGTCTGGTGGCTGCCGCCCGCAGAAGATTTGCTAATGTCGTTTCAGTGACACCCACAATTTATAAGTGGAGAGACCTGGAAAATAAAATGCTTCATCGTGCCGTTCCCATCTCCGGGGTGCATACCGGCTGACCCGAGTGGGAGGGGTCCTTGGAGGTGGGGAAGAGAGACACACAAACAGCGAAAGAATAAGCGTGCGACAGTCACACAGTCTTACCTCCAGGACGAAAGGACACGGTTCCTAGAACTGAGATTTCCATAGCCAGTCTGCATCCCAGCTGTTTCTCCCGTAGGCTCTCTCCTGCCTAACACAGCCTTCTGACTAACTTGGACAAGGCTTGAGCTGCCCCCTCCTTTTTTCCTCCCTTTTTTCTTTCCAGACATTCCCTAAACTCAACCCAGGGCAAATCCAGAAGTCGGTACAGTACAGAGCTTTCATTCAATCGTGGGGGAAAAAAATCCCGTTTACAGTTTGTCTTAGGCAGATGGAAGTAGATAGTTACCGGACTTGGGAGGGGTGCATGAGGATGGCATGGGGTGTCGGTGGCAGGGAAGCGCGATTTCTCTTAAGTCTTGGTGCTGCAGGTAAGGTTCCCAGATTCCAGCTGCCCTCATGCCGAGCTGCGGTGGCGGGTGAGAGTGGAGGGCGACCCTCGTCTGATTAGAGGGGAGTGGAGGAGGGTGGAGTAGGGAAGAAACGGACCCTGGACAGGCTCCACGGACACATTGTCTTGGTTTGTGTCTGTGCCCGCTCTATGCTGCTGCTTTTGGGAGCCTTTTGAGCATAGTAGGAAGCCCTAGGCTTTTTCTCTCCTTTTTCTCCCTTCTAAAATGTGTTTAGAAAGAAGTGAATATCCTTCTAAAATAAGTTAAAAATCTTTCTCGGACTTTCCATTTGAGATGTCAAAAGGATTAAATAAATGAAACTTTATTTGACCGGGGAGTTTACCCAGAGACTCAACGACATCTCGGGTCTTTGGCCTTATTCTAATTCCATGGCGGTAATTACCCTTCGTTTCTTTAAGTGCAATAGATTTATTGCCTTAGAGACTATGCAGTTTGATTGAATTATTCATTTTTTTTTCTTTGGTGTAGACTGCATCTGGGGACTCTGATGTGACGTGTAGATTTTTTTTCAGGAACAAAGGGAATGTGGAAATGAAAGAGAGAGGGAGAGAGAGGCTGGCAGATGTAATGAGACGCGGTGAAGGTGTACGCAGACTGGCACTCCCACTCCTCCCGTCTGCTCTCACTGCAGCCCTGGGTAACTCGCAGGCTAACACAAACAGCTTTTCTCCCGCAGCCTGCCCTCTGTCACTGTAAGTACATCAGCCTTCTCTTATCAGCATGCAGATTCCAGCCACGCACTCCCCTAGCCTCGGCTTTGCACCTTAGACAGCAGAAGCACATTTAAAAATTAACTTTCCTAAGCCAGGAAAGACATGTCTGTGAAACTTATTTTTGATTTATCTTTATTTTTCTTTGAAAAAAGTTCATGCATTTTTACCACTTTTCCCCACCTCCTTTGTGGCGGTGCTGCTGCTGCTACTGTCGCTACCGCTGTGGTCTTCCCAACAGGATGACGCGCAGATTCAAATGAAATTTAATGTTATTCTCTATCCATTTCAAGTCGAGAGACAATGCCTTGTCCTTTTGCAAAATGACGTTTTAAAGAACGCAAGCGTCATCCACAGTTTGTTTTTTGCTTTTGTTGTTGAAACACGAGTTCCGACCTCTTTGAGGCAGAGTCCCAAGGGCACTGTTATTTGGGAGTTCGGGTTATTTGGTTACACCAAACTTAAATGAAGTGCGATGGGCGGCTGGAGTGTTGGTATGTTTGTTATCCCTGTTTAAGGAAACCAATTGCTAAAACTTTTCTCCGTGCTGTAATTAAAGTTTAAAACTTCTTCCCTTTTGGCTTTTTATACTCTTTCACTTATTCTTCGTTTCAGTAAAAGTTTTCATTCCCCATGTTTTGGAAGTAAAGACATTTATATTTGTCCTGTTTATGCAGTAGCTATAAAGCCCTTCCTGAAAGAAGTTAGCGACCTTAAGATGAAGTCATGTAGATCTGAATTGTCCGTCTGGCTGGTGTAAGGAGACTTTCAAAGCGAGAATTTGAGGTTTCAGTAGTCGTTATGATTTTTGCGTGGGTGCTTTAAATATTAACTTCTCGAGCAGAATTCATTGCGTTGCCCTTCCCAAGTTCAGGGGGACCTCTCTTCAGGAACCGCGCGCGCCTTTCCTTTGCCGGTTCGCGCCTCTTCTCTGGAGGTGCGAGGCCAAACTTAGCAAAGCCGAGTTGCCTTTGCTGGTTGCCACGAGCAGGGACACCGGGACAGCACGGAGGCAGCGACAGCTGCGGGCAGGTAAGTCAGCCCCCACCCGCTCGCCCCTCCTTCCCTCCCTCGTCCCCCTAGCTCAGCGCCCGGTGTTCTTGAGCCGCGCGGGGCTCCGACCCCCAGAGAAAGGGAGCCCGAGTGCGCCCGGATCTGGCCGCGGTGCCTGGGTGTCCTCCGCTCCTTCGGGGACTTCTCCGAGCCAGCAGGCCAGTGCCGACCAGGTGGAGAGCCGGCACTTGCACCCGCTGCAGCGCTCTCCGCCTCGCCCCCTGCGCTGTACGTTCCAGCCCGAGGCTTGACAGGAAACCCTTAGGGCTCACTCCCGCCCCCAGGGCCACGTGTCACCCCGTGCACAGCCTGGAGTGCAGCACCCAGACCCCAAACTTTAGTTTCCTTCCTTTAGGGATCAATGTTGTGACCAGCTCCGGCTTCCGCCTTATCAGTCTACTCTGGTATCAGTTTATTAGATAAAATCTAAAGAGGATTCCTGCCGCTCCTTCCCAGAAGGTCCACCGCGGCCCAGTATTAGGGCCTTGGACGCCAGAGATCTTGATAATGTCTCTTTTTCCTTTTTGCCTTCCGCCAGCGGCCTGCGTCTGGTCGGCGGGGTCAGCCATACCCCCTAGATCCCCGAGTGCTGTGTGATTTAAAGAGACGGATGCCCTGGTACTTGAAAAGCCGAATTGTCGCAGCAACTCTGAGGAGCCCAGTCGCTCCCCAGCGTTCCCTCCCTCCGGGTGGCTCTTCCCTGAGGATTCACGCTTTGGGACTTAAACTGCCCCCTCTTCTCTCTGCCCTAACTCTGCAGGCATTTAGGACAGGTCATTCGATGTTGACCTCTGTAGGCTTTGGAGCGATTTTTTGGCCCCTGTGGTTGAGTTTCAGGGCGGAGGCCGGAGAGCTCGAGGCTCTGCAACCGAGCGCTGGGCCGGGCCACACTCATTCACAAAAACAAACAAAACAACAAAAACAAAACCCAGAAGAGATATGGCCCCTGTCTAGGCTAGAAACACTGGTCTGGATTTGCACCTTGGGCCTCGGAGGTCAAGAGGCATGCCCAGGCAGTTCTGGGAGCCCCGGGGCAGAAGGAGCTGGCAAGCAAGGTGCCAGGCATTCTCTTCGACGTCTTCTAGGCTCTGGCGCCTCGAGGCAGACTTTCCAGTCCTGAAAGTCGCTGTGGGCGATGGGGACACAAGATTTCTTGCTGGGGACTAGCTCTCCTCTCAGCCAACAGTCAGCAAGTCACTTTAATTTACAGCCCCCAAGATCCCAATCCTCAGGCATCATATTTCCTATTCTGGTAGAAGCATCTGGCTTTTCCTTCTGCCCCACTAATCTGAGGTGCTCATCCATACCCTTGTGTCTATCCTTTTCCTCTTGTCTGGAGTTCATATGAAACCAAACATGGAGTATACTTTCAGAAGCCAATATGTGACTGCCAGCTCAGCTTGTTCCATCTTCTGTGCTTGCTTACTCTCTCCATTTTCTTCAAAGTAATGTAACAAAGATGAAGCTTTCTCCTCTTTATCTTTTATCACTCAACCTGTGGGAGGTCTTCCTTTGGCAACTTTAGATTGGCATGAATTTTCTGATTTTTCTATCCATAATTCCTGTCCCTTCTCTCCTGGTCCATATCTTCTTTCACAAAGTCTCTGTTTATGAAGTGTCTCAAAGTGGCCATCTCCTGTCAGTTTCTACATAGTAAGGGCCTCTCCTCCACAAATCTCTGCAGGTGATGCTGGTAGGTCAGAACCTCTCTCCCAGCTTTTAATCTTGATGTAATTTTGACTCTCCACTGACCTCAGTTTCTCAAATCTAGTCTATTTCTTTGGGCCTGGATTAAGGCAGGCCAACCTCACCTCCATGCACACTGCCTCTAGTTAGCTGTGCCTACTGCTATCAAAGCTGGTTTTCTCATCTCTCTCTTTTACTCTGCATCTCTACTACCTGGCATCACCTCCTCTCCCAGTCCTCCAGCTTTTTTGCACTGAGATCAAGTTCCAGGTCTCTGCTCTGGCCTAGATATAGGCCATTCTGTATCCTTCAAATCTTTTATCTCCCCTATACATGCATCAAAGAGAATCTTTAATTTATGTAGGGTTTTTTTGGGGGGAGAGGGCTTTTATTAAGGTAATTTTCTACATCTGACTTGCTTGTTTTTTACATGCCATCCTGGATGACTGAAACTCTTCATTTTTTTACAACTTCCAAGCCACCCTTCTTGAAATTTTTTCTCCAGATCTTTTCCTCTACGAAGTTGAGATAATACACATATATCACCCACCAAATTCCACATAACACAAACTTATCCATACAATAAATGTGGAACTATTTTATTTATTGTTGTAAAGTTCTTTGGTAGTTTGTACATGTCTTGTTACTTCTAATAATTTTAACCCATAATCTCCATAATCCACATGGCCTTCAGAACATTGCCCCCTACATATGGTAAGAATCTCCTATGTCAATTGCTTTTTCTTTTTTTCTTTCAATTCTTCCTCCTCCATCTTTTAAAACAAGTTTCTCTTCCTCCATTTATTGGGATCCTGCTAACCGGCATGTTCATTATCCCTGCTTCCTGCCTCTCTTTCTTTACTCTCTTTTGACCACTTCTCTTTTTCATTTCTTTCCTTCTTTTTATTCATCCTAATATTCACCCTTCTTTCCTTCTTCCTCGCCTGCTTTGGTCCCTCTCCTTCCCCTTCTCTGTGTCTCCCATGACTCATTCTTGTTGTCCAGTTCTCCATCTTAGTACTTCTTAACACTCAGTCCATTCCTCCTCTGTCACATCACTTTTTCAGAGCACAAACTACCACCCCTACATTTTCCTCTCCCACTTCACTTCCTCCTTTTCTCCAGTTCGCTCCTTTCTTTCTCCCCAGTGTTCACCTTTTCCCCACTTCAGTTAGCCTTTCTCTTGACTCCTCCTCCCGGCAGGGCGCCGTCCCAGTCCTAATAGCGTTCCCTGGGTCCTTGACTCCTCAGCCCGTCTCTCTTCCACCTAATACTTGTCACCATTCCCCTCTGACCCAACTCTCCCTCTTCTTCGTCCCCTTCCAGTTCTCTCCTAGTAGTCGCTTCGCGCTCTCTTCCCTGGCGCTTTCTCCACTTCCAACCTCCGCTCTCGCCGATCTCTGCCCTCTCTCTCTTCGGCTCTCTCTTGCCTTTGCCTCCCGCTCTCCCCTCCTTCTTCCCCAGGCCCTCCCCCTCCCTCCCAGCTTCCCTGCCTGGCTCGCTGCCTCCCTCGCCTCTTGTCTCATCTTGCCTGTGTTGTCTGGGAGGGGAGCCCTGCCTCCTCTCCCTCGCTCAGATCAATGCCCTGGCCACTCACTTTCTGATGTTGCACGACGGGAAATGCTTTGAATACTTACGACATGGCCGCTCACACTGATTGCCAAGATTGACAGCACTAACCATCGCCTTCACTTGTTTCAAGGGGGGAAGCCCCTAGTCACCCCGCTCTGCGCGCACCTCCCGGCACCCCGGCGGCAAACTTCTGCCGGTCAGCGCTCCCCCCGCCCGGAGCGGGACACCCCCGCAGACTCGAGTTAACGGGCTGCGCCGGCCGCGGCGCTGGGGCTTCTGCTCCCTTGCTCCCCGGGCTGTGCTAATTGACCTAGCATCGACTCCCCTTCCTTAAAATTTTTTTTTATTTGTATCTTTCCTTTTTTCTTTAATGCCATTTACTCCCGCGGCGCAGCGCACAAGGAGCCCTCCCGTGCGGTACCATCCTGGAGCCCGCCCAGGTAACCGGGACGGAGCGAGCGATCTAGAGAGCGAGGGAGGCAGAGCAAGAGCGCGCGGCCCGTTTGTGAGCTACCTGTTGGGGCGCCGGAGGGGCAGGGGCAGGAACCCCGGGCGGGCCGCCGGCCCCCAGCGCCTTCCGCTCCTGCCCTTCCGGGCAGCTCCAGGGTTAGTTTCCCTGAGCTGGGACTGAGGGGCTGGGGTAGGACAGGCGGAGGGACGAGAGCTGAGCG